TTTTTAATTTAAAAAGTACCAAGTGAAAAGTACTCTCTGCTTTTCACAAGTTATAATACGATCAAATAATGCTTTGCCCTTGAAGATATAACTAAAGATATAGCAATAATATTATAAAGTTATATACATATATTATTAAAACTAGCAAGGATCCATTAAATGTACAAAAATAAAATATTGAGTGTGGTATTAAAATATTTTGTGGACATTATTATTGCGTTCCATAAATAATACATTTGTATGAAGTATAACAAATCATTATTTAAATAGGCAAGGTTTTTATAGCTAAATGTCATGCAAATAGACCAACAACTTTGTAAAAGAAAATCACTGCAATAGCATTAGTACCATGATTATAAAAAAATTATAATATAATTTATTAGTATGACTATTGTACTATGAGAAATGCATTAACACAATAGCAATAATATGATAACTAACCATAAAAACCCATTTTGTTATTTTATTTCATTGATAGATATGTTATATAATGTTAAACAATTGTAATATTAATGTTAGTAAACAAAGTTATGCTTACCGTTAATGTGTTGCATGTGTTTATTTTCTCTGAACTGTTGACTAATGATCAATAAAGTAAACTTCAAATAATGAAAGCTTACTAAATTAAAACCATATTTCAACTCAAATAACCACACAAGGTAGAATCTCAAAGAAGAGCTGAAAAAAAGGAGAAAAAGTATATAATAGACAATGTATATAATGCTCCTAATTAAAATATCAAAGATATAGTACATAACGGTACCAGTTTCGATTAACAATTGACAGGTAAAACTAAAGATAAGGAGAAAAAAAGAATACAATAAAAATTAGATATGTTTAAATTTATAAAGATTATAAAACTTCACTTCATTCAGTATCTTTAAGATACTGTTGTATAATTTAACAACTTTTAAGTTAAAAAAATAATTATTTTATTTTTATAGTTTTATTTATTTAAAAAGGTTATTTAATTGATTTAGTTATTTTATTTTTTTCGTGAAGTTTTATTATCTTTATAAATTTAATTTAATTTTAATAATGTGCCCTAGTTCATATATATATATACGATATATATATGTATATATATATATATATATATATATATATATATATATATATATATATATATATATATATATATATATATATGTATATATATATATATATATATATATATATATATATATATATATATATATATATATATATATATATATATATATATATATATATATATATATATATATGAGTAAAATTTAATTAATAATAATAAAATGTCTAATTTAATTTTACTCATATATTATATATATAAGTAAAATTAAATTAGACAAAACTTACAACATTATTCAGAGTAAATTAAATTAATATATATATATATATATATATATATATATATATATATATATATATATATATATATATATATATATATATATATATATATATATATATATATATACTAACATATAAAAATATAACTTGGTTTATTGAGAAGGATAAAAAACACAAAATGGTTAACACATTTTATCTGTAAAATTTAATCTCCGAGATTTAAGTGCAAATAAGTCTATAACTTTTTCTACATCAGGTACTATTTCTTTGTGAATATGCATATGAGCAAGATTGTTCAACCTCTCAGATGACATAGTACTTCGTGTGTAATTTTTTAATCGCTTCATGGCTGAAAACGATCTTTCACAAGAAGAAGACGTTACAGGTAATGTTCCTAAAATACGAAGGCAAACTCTGATATTTTCAAATACATTATTAGGAAGACTTTTTAAAGTACTCGAAATGTTATCTGGCAAGCAAATATTTTCAAGAAGCCAGTATCTTTCCCACAAATCAAGTTCTGCACTTAAAGAAATTGCACATGGTAAATCAGTTGCATAAAAATTAACAAAAGATTGGAACCTAATTTTCCAGTCAATCTTTTTAGAGACAAAAGAAATCATTTTGTCTGGAATAATAACCAAGCCATCGTAAGCTTCCAAAGCATCATCACTAAATCTGTAATTTACTTCACTTAGGAGGTGATCAATAAGTGGAATAGATAACGATTTTTTGAAATAATCTGAAGTTGAAGAAGAAGCAACGTTATTTCTATTTATTTGACGACTTGATAATCTTGGTTTAGCTTCTGCAACATCAACTTTAGAAGCAAGACAAAGAATAGAAGCATACCACTTTATGTGATAATCATCTATTAAACTTCTAAGTGTTGAGATATAACTTTTTAAAGCTGAAATAGAACCTAAACCATCACAAATATCAAAAGTTTTACCCTGTAACATTTGTGTAACAGGAATTGTGTAGTCAAGTACTGTCCGAGTTATCACTAAGGATGCAATAAAGTCAAAACTTGTAACAAGTTTTAAAAAACAAGATGCTTGTGAGGAAGTATCTTTTGTACATTTTGATTCTAGGTTCAAGCTCATTCCTTCAAGACAAAAAACAATAGGTACAAACAAATTTTCAAAATCATCCAACCCAGTTATGCGTTCAACCCATCTTGTACGACAAACATCAATTAATTTTTTCTTCGTAGCAAAAGGGAAATGTTCTGTAATAGCTACTTCTAATAAATTTTGTCGTGACTCTGAAAAATTAAAAAAATACGACAGCTGTTTTACATGTTCCATCATGTTTCTAACTTCTTGTATCTTGCATGAATTTATAACACTAAGATTAAGGCGATGACTAAAGCAGTGAGTATACACTGCTTTATGGTTTAGATCTTTTATTCTTTTAGCGATTCCTTTAACATGACCAGTAGCAGATGATGTACCATCATAACCCTGACCTCTACAATTGGAAATATCAAGCGAAAAATCTTTAAGTGAAGATAAAATAGTTTTGCATAGAGCTTCACCTGTTGAACCTAATTCACAATGTAAAAAACCCATAAATTCTTCCCTAACATCATATGATTTGTCTATAAATCTAATTACTAAAGACAATTGTTCCTGATTGGAGCAGTCAGATGCTTCATCAGCAATAATTGAAAAAAATTGATTTTCTTTTATTTCAGAAACCAAAATATTCTGGATGTACTGTCCACAACAATTTATTAATTCATTATGTGACAAATTTGAAATATAAGATGCATTCTTTGCGCAACTATTAAGATGATGTTCAAGAACTTTATCCCCACCTCTGATTCTGTAGTTTAAAAGTTCAATAAAATTACCTACTCCACCCACTAAAGAATATTTGCCAATAGTAGGATGATATTGAGAATCATCACAATGACCTCTGAAAGCTATGTTGAGTCGGCCTAAGAAAATGATTGAGTCAACAATTGGACGCAACTTCTCACGATTTAAAGCAATCTCCTTTTCATATTCTTTATTAATTAAAATATCTATACTTTGAATATTTCCATTCATAGTATTTAAAACTGTGGAAAATATGGTTCAGGTATTATGATGGAGACTTTGTACAGCTGAGTGATGTTCATAAATGTTTCCTTTTTTCCCATGATAATGTCTATTAAAAGTACATACAGCATCTGGCCAGTATTTAAATGGCTGAGAATACAAATTTTTACATCTAGAAGCTTTTGAAGGGTATATATATCCAAACAAAACGCAACACAAACAAAATGCTCCATCTTCAGAAGGTGAATAGCTAAACCATGAAAATTGTTTTAACCATATAAGTTTGAAAGATCGCCCATTTGTTTTTGGAAAAGAATAAGTTTCATCAGGAACAAAAACATTTCGAATCAAATTTTTTAATTGTAAATCTTTCAAAGTAGAAGCCTTCGAACGAAAACATGCAATATCAAATTCACTACAGGGTTCACTTGATAATTTCTTTAAACTAGACTCAACTCCCATATTTTCAGTGAATAAGATGCTTTTGTCTTTAGTATTAGAACTTTTTTGATTTGAAGATAATGTATTAATTGGATAAAATGATTTTGAATCAATAAAAGAATTGCAAACAATATTTTTATGAGAAGAAGACATACACTTTTCGTTAACAAGTGTTCATGAAACAGATTTATCATTAATGGTAGATATAGATGATACTTCATTTATACTATATTTTTCTGCAAACATATGAATTGTTGATTGATTGGTAAAATTAACTTTTTTACAGATTTTACGATTCAAACATTTCTTATCTGGAATGAAAACAAGAGGCACATAATGATTGTTTATTCCCTCAAAACAAAATAAAAAATTAACAATATCTGATGATGAACATAGAATACGAGGTTCAATTTTAAGATTAAACATAATTTTATATTTTAGGAGAGAACCAATTGTTCTATAGTAACACTGAACTCTTGTAGAACACACAGTTGAAAGAGCAAGAACACAAAGAAACCCAGACCATACAAAACCTTTACACATATGAAATGCTTCTTCCTTAACAAGGTCATCTTTCAATTTTCCTGAGTCTATAGAATGTGTGGATACAGACACTGCTAACAAATTATCAATTGATGAAAACTCATTTGGATACTTTGAGCACAAGCTTACAAACGATGGATGATTACTGTAAAATGAAGCATTTAAATATAAATCAATTGCTGTCAGTATTCTTAAATCCATTGCTAGACTGTTATCACCACACAGATAAATCGAAAATGAACTAAATAAGCAATTGCCGGTTGATTCAGATCTGTAAAAAAGGCAATTAAAAATTTTTAAGTAAAAAAAACTTTACAATAGGCTCAATGGAAAAAAAAAAATGGATTTAATCATTTATGTACAAATAATCAGTTTCGTAAAAAGTTAAACTAATTAGATCAAGGCAAAAAAATGTATTTCATAATATTATTACTATATAAATTCACATTCTCAAACGAACGAACGCAAGGATAATATGTTTACAAATTTTAAATGTAACTTTTTATTTTACTTGTTGGGATAAATAAAGTAAAGCTTACTTCACCGCCATAGTTGTTCTTGTCTCTTGAGGAATGTCGCGCTCAACAGAAAGATTTCTCTTTATTGACTTATGAACAGTTAACAACTGATAAAGATCTGGCTTATGAAGGAGATTAATCTTTATTGACAATTCTGAATAAAGAGTTTGTAAATCTTCAATAAATCCATTCTCAAGCAAATACCTTACAGATTGTAGAGAAATGCACGCCATATCAAAAATTATTTAAAACATTCAAAGATTTATTGTTACAAAAGGTTTCTTTTAAATTAATCAGGGGGTAATAATTAGTTATGATTTAAATTTAATTCGACTAACTTGGCCTGAAGTTACGCCACCGAACGATGAAAATAAAACAATTTTAAGTACTTTAACAACTTTTTGAAATCTCGTCAACCGAATAAACGGGCCAGATAAGTCGCGACTAACTTGGCCTTAAGTTACGTTACCGAACAATAAAAAATAAAAAATTTAAAAAACTTTAAAAATTTTTTGAAGTCTCGTCAGCCGAATAAACGGGCCAGATAAGTCGCAATATTTCTTGACTAACTTGGTCCGAAGTTACGCTACCGAAAAAAAAAAATACAAGCGCTTATGTATATTTCTTCACAGACGGTTATGCAAGCTGTAAACAAATGCGCACGGCGCGGGGCTAGTGAGTGCGCATATACTTATCTTAGTTTATTAGGTATTGCTGCTAAGACCAAAAAAATAGAGATTATTTTTTCAAAATTCTCAAAAATATATATATATATATATAAATATACCAAAAAAGATGTTAGTCAATGCGCCTAACAAGACTAACCCTAAACCCGCCCCTATATATATATATATATGTATATATATATATATATATATATATATATATATATATATATATATATATATATATATATATATATATATATATATATATATATATATATATATATATATATATATATATATATATATATATATATAACACAGCCGTGGCGCAGTGGTTAGAGTACTGGCTCAGAACCCAGAGGTCCGAGGTTCGACACTAGCTCCAGCCCAAAAAGCAACATTGGTACGGAAGGAGGCGTGAACTTCCTATTAAATGCTCTCCCGCGGTGCTCTATGATAAGACCGTAAGAACTTCTGGGAGCACCTATATACATACAAAATATATATATATATATATATATATATATATATATATATTTATATATATATATATATATATATGTATATAAATATATATATATATATATATATATATATTATATATATATATATATATATATATATATATATATATATATATATATATATATATATGTATATATATATATTATATATATATATATATATATATATATATATATATATATATACCCAGTGGGCACCCGACGTCAATCCGACGTCGGATTTACGTTTGATTTTCATCAGCGATGTCAAAAGACCTATTCCGACGTTGTTCCGATGTCAGTAAAATGACGTCGGGCGATGTCTTTATCTCAACATCCCCTGACGTCGTTTCGATGTATTTTGACGTTGTTCCGACATCTTATAAAAGACGTCCAAAAAACGTCGCAGTACTGACATCGATCCAACGTCGATAAAAAAGACGTCGGGCAACGTCATAATATTAACGTACTCCGATGTCTTTTGACGTCTTCCGACGTCAATCCAACGTTCTTAAAACGACGTCGGAACAACGTCGTAAGACATCGCTGATGAAAATTTAATCCAAACCCAACAATATGTGTGCAATTGCGCTCTTCAATAATTATGTGAACTAAGCGTGTTTTTTTATTAATGGAAAAAAGTTTGAATAAAGGTTGATAAAACATCATGAGGTTTTGTATGATGCACTAGCATAGTTTTTTAACTATTAACATTTTCGAGTATACATTTTTTATAATATATAACTATTCGTTTTAATATTTATATAATATTTAAACAAAATTATTTCTTATCAAAGTAATAATTCCCAAATAGCTACAAGTATAAATTACTAAATAAACTCTTGAATTAATATGTCCTTGTGGTGTAGTGGTAAGCGCATAGGATTTAGTAACTGATAGACCGAGGTTCGATTCCTGCTAAAGGCAGCGTTTTATAGTTTTCAAAAAACACGTTGGATTTACATCGGAATGCCGACGTCGCGCGATGTCAGTTTATCCGACGTCAAATAACATTTCCATTTCCAACGTAAACCCAACGTCGATCCGACGTCGAGATCCGACGTCGCTCAACGTTCGTTCGACGTCGAAATGCCCACTGGGTATATATATTTATATACATATATATATATATATATATATATATATATATATATATATATATATATATATATATATATATATATATATATACATTTTAATAAAAGTAGAAAGTAAAAAAATAAAAGATCTTTGGAATGAGATGCTTGTTTAGTTTTAACCTTGTAAAACAATAAATGTTTTACAATTTATTGAAAAAATTGTCCATTTTTATTTCTTTCTTTTTCTTTAAATGTATATATATATAATTATATATATATACATTTATATATATATACATTTATATATAAAATATATATATATATATATATATATATATATATATATATATATATATATATATATATATATATATATATATATATATATATATATATATATATATATATAATTATTTTTAAAAATAACACAATGTTTTTTATTCTTGACATGTTTCGTAAAATTTGTTTACATTTTTAAAAGATTATTTTACAATAATAAAGCTCTGAAATAAATTAAAATTAAAGAATAGAATTCCTTACAGAAATATAATAACGAACAAAAATTAAAAGTATAAACTAATAAATTTATTACAAAATAACTAATTTAAAAAATTATATATATAAATAATAATAAACTGACACTAAATTTAAATGATTAAGTTTGTAGCATTATGTGAAGTTTGTTTACTATTTAAGGGACTTCCCCATTTAATGAGAGTATTTCTTTTATTTTTAATTTGTGTTTTGTTGGGGCATTATCCAAAATCTCAAAAGAATCACAGCTAGCTAGATTTTTGAAAGTAATAGATAAATTTAAGTGTTTAAATGTATGAGATTGTTTATCTCTTTTAAGGTGCTCATTTATTCCAGTTGCCAAATGTCTGGAGAGACCTCCAGATGTTAGGCAGACATTTTTTCAGAGTTTTATTAAAATAATCTTTTAAAAATGTAAATAAATTTTATAAAACATTAGTAAGTAACCAGGACCTTGGCCCCAGCTAAAAATGAGACTTTTTGCAATCCCAGCCCGCCAAAATTATAAGATTTAACATGGGTTGATAGCCAGGGCTAGACAAAATATTCTAATACTTAATATAATATAATTTTATGCATACATTTACTTTTTATTAAATACTGGCATACATTTATATATTTTAAAATTTAATTTACTTTCAACAAGATTGCTAGCAACCACTATTAAGTAATGTGTTACTTTCAAATAGAGAACTAGTTAAAATACTAAGAAACCTATAACTA